AGTGCATAACCTTATACACCTCTATACCTTTGAGCAGCATTAATTGAACTTAATGGATTATCAGAAAAGAAAAAAAAACCCTGGCCTGGTAACTCAGGCCTATAATGCAGCTACTCGGAATGCTGAGGAAGATCATGAGTTCAAGGAATGCTTGTGACAATTCAAACAGTACTCACCAAACAAAACAGGGCAATTGTACATAAGGCTCAAAACAACTGTGACTACATGTATGAGGTCAAGTCAGACAAAATCCCAATATGTATGGGTAGGGGTATGTGAACAGCCCATCCCCCCCCACATCAGCAGCACCTGCACACGCTACCAGCTGACAAAAAAAAATTGGTTTCTTATGGTTAACTGAAATGTTCATGTAAGAGCAAAGGAAAATCCCAATAAAATTTACATAAAATTAAATTGATTTCTTTTTAATATAAAAATTTTGTTAATTCTTTGAGAATTTCATATATGTATACAATGTACATTGATCACATTCACCCCTTCTTTTTCGTACCCTGCTCCCAAATTCATGTCAATTTTTTTTTATTACCCACTGAACCCAATGTGTGCTTACTGGACACCACGAGTGTGGAGCTTCTAGACCAAATTTTAAGCTATTTTATCAGTTTCTTAATTAAAAAAATAAGTGTTGAAACTTTGGTTTGGACTGCTTTTTTAAGTCTACAGGAAAATTTGGAAAGAAAAGGTTGGTAGTACTGTATTTTCATTTCAAGAATAAGACTTATTTTTCCATTCAGATACATCTGAGCAAGGCTTTGTAGTTTTAAGAGGATAGTTCTAGAACATTTCTTATTCATTCCTGATCATGTGAAAATACAGGTGTTAAGAATTCCTTCCCAATTCTTGTCTCTGATTTCTTTTTCTTGTTTCACTATACTGATTAGGATTTTCAGGAACAGAAGTAATGAGGGACAAAAGTTGACCTCCTTTTTGTGCAGTCCTAGAATTAAAAAGTGCCCCATACGTCACTGATTATTATAATTTTTCAGCAATAGATTTTTGATAGTTTTTTGTTTTGTATTAAAAAATCTGAGTAAGGAAATTCTTCTAATATCTGATATCTTGAGGGGTTCATAATAAGTGGAAGCTGAAAAAATTGTGTGGTTTCTGAATAAACATATATTTCTTCTCTTTTATATTGATAATGCAGTAATTACACTTGCTGATTTTTTACAGTTTTATGGAAAAATACATATACCATAAAATCCACCATTTTAAAGAAATGTTCAGGCCAATGGTTTGTCATATGTTTGTAAAGCTGGACAACTTTCTAAATCCAGAACATTTTCATGTCCTTGAAAAAAACTCAGTATCCATATTCCCCTTTCAGCCCTCCTCAACAACCACTAATCTCTTACATTTGCTTATATGGGTTTTCCAATTCTAGACATTCATGACAATGGAATCATGCAATGTCTGGTCTCTTTTACCTGGTTTCTGGTACTTGGCATCATGTTTTCAAGAGTCACTGGGACTCTTGTTGTAGAACTTCATTTCTTTTTGTGGTTACAAAAAAATTCATTGAATGAATATAACACATTTGTTTATCCATCCATCAGCTGATGAACATTAAGTTGTTCCTACTTTTTAACTACTATGAATACGCTGCTATAAACATCTTAATTTTCTTCAGTATATACCTAAGAAAGGACCTGTTGGGTAATGCGGCAATTCTGTTAAAACTTTCTGAGAAACTATCATACTGTTTTTCCAAAAGGAAACACTATTTGCACACTTCCACCAGCAGTATTTGATAGTTCTATTTTTTAAATAATTAACACTTTCTTTTTTCTAATGAACTCATTCCTTTTTTCTATAGATGTAGCACAATAATAAAAAAAAAAGAGACAGATTTTGGGGTTTTGGGGCTCAAGCTTCAAGCTGAAGACCAGAGAAGCAAAGCTGCTAAGCCACTATGTCTTATCTCTACCTCAGGCTGAGAGGGGCTGATCCCTGTCTCCATGAGCTGTCACCAAGTCTCAGACTGCTGCCTCCCATCAGTGTGGCTGGACAATGAATGCCTGAGATTGACTACTGAAGACCCTGTTCCTATATTTTATACCTTGCTAGTGCTGGGATAAAAGACGTGTGATCCCAGGTGCTGAGATCACCTTTGTGTGAGCTGTTTCTTTTAGGACTGGATCACTTTAATGTACTCAGTGTGGCCTTAAACTAACAGAGATTCATCTACCTCTTAATCCTGAGTCCCGGAATTAAAGGTGTGTACCACCGCTGCCTAGCTTCTATTGCTAACTAGTGTGGCTGCTTTGCTATTTTGATCTCCAGTGGCTTTAATAAATCATAAATACTATATCACCACATATATACATCCTGTGGGATAAGAAGTAGAATCAAATTCTGGTTTTGATTTGCAATTCCCCAATGAATACGGTAAGCATATTTCCATATATTTACTTACTTGCTGCTTGTATATCTTCATTGGAGAAATGCTTATTTGCATCTTCTTATTGAATTACAGGACTGTTAAATATATTCTGAACTGATGCAAGTCCCTGATCTATAGCATTGCTAATACATACGTTTTCCTATTCTATGGGCTGTCTTTCACTTCCCTAATAAGACCTTTGCAGCCAAGGTTTTAATACTGATAATTTATTTTCCATTTTGTTGCATGTGCTTTAGGAATCATAATAAAAAAAATCATTGCCTAATCCAAGGGAAAAAAACAACATGGACAACATATGTCAAGATATGAAGACAGCTGAACACACAAAGCAAAAGATATTACAAGTAAATCCTAAGTAGCTAAAATTTTAAAGCCAATAGCTGGGTAATACTCGAGGAGATACCCTAATGTGAGGCATGTTGATAATGACAAAGTCTCACCTCTCTGCTCCAGCCAAAAAACAAACAAAGAAAACATTTTAGATGAATACAGCCACTCCTCCAATGCAGAAAAAGTTATAAACCAAGGCTAATATTTTTGAACTATATAATTTAAGTACAAAGCTTACAAATGATTAGATCTGACTTACATGAAAGTGGTATATTTTAAAGCATTTTACCTTAACATAACAAAAAATTACAGAATAGTTTAAGTATCATGTAACATTTACCAATGTTTACCTGTTCTCAATATTTTGCTCCACTTACTTGGTAATTTACTATCCACATATTCATTCATATAATATTTTTCTGAAATGCCAAGATTACACATACAGGTCCCCACTTGCCTGGATACTTCAGGGTATCCTGACTCAACATGTGGGTATGCCCTATAAGTCATACTAAAGAAATCAATGTTAGTGAATTTAACAATGCAACTCTTTTTGCTAGCTATATTTCAAATTTCAAAGCCATATTTTGCAAAATGACCGAAAAACATACTATAATATTTTGGTTTTATATACAGAAGCCACTTTAAGGTGAGTCAGAACACTTACTGGTAACTTATCTTTAGTAGTATTCAATCTGGAACACCTTCTCAGTCCTTATCTTTTATGGCACTTAACAGTCTATTTACATACCATCATCCCCTCTTATTTTCTGTCCAACATGCTCTTCACTCTTGATTTGTCTGTTTCCCTGTCATTAACTTCATGTTATGTACTTCCAATGAAATACTATGCAAGTGACACTGTCCTTCTCAGAACATCACATCCAGAGGCACATACACTGTGTACCTGTTCCTCAATGGTGGCCCTAATTCTGAACACACATTAGCAGTGTTGCTTGTTTCTTCACTATGCAATTACTATTTTTCACAACTAATAATAAATCTCTAGAGAGATATTCAAACTATAAAAAGCCCATTACTCCTGAAGGATAAATTTTATAACAGTATTTATAGTGTTATAAAAAGTAGCTTCTATATATAAAAGAAGCCTACATAATTCATTTAGGGTGAGAGCTATGTGCCCGAATCAATTCCATGCCAGTTTAAATATATTTTATTGCACTAGACTATGTGCACCGAGTATTTATGAAAAACTGCTCATTAACTGTCCAGTCATTATAGAAAAATGGGAATTTTTAAGTCCGACTAGTATCAATGCTGTAGTGTTTGTTCCATAAAAATAAGTCTGTATTTTATGTCAGAGAAGGAAGTTATAAATTAAATGATACTAAAATTTTCTTTTCTTTATCTTGTAAAAAATATTATTTTAAAAAGCTCAGTAATATTTTTCAAATATCAGTCAACCGCTTGTTCTGAAAATGTCCCTATCTACTGCGTTCCCAGACATTCTGTGAACCTACTGATTTACTAGATAATATACTTATGGGCGAGCATTGTGTAAGAAATGAGCATCAACCACAGTCATGTGTTATCTAACTGAGAAATTTGTCAGTAGGTCATTTTATCACTGAGTAAGCATCAAATGTATGACATCACTAGGCGAGGTAATCTTATGTGATCACTGTTATATACATGGTTTATTTTTGTTAAAAATGCCAATATGATGTATCATTGTACTCTTTAGAAAAAACAAGTAGAGAAAGTTAACTAAACTATTCAATGTGTATTAGACAACACATATCAGAAATTTCTTTATTTGCTATTTCCAAATATGCAAATACTTTTCTTTTAAAAAAAAGAGACTGCTGATCTTTATAAATATGCAGCTAAGATGCTTTCATGCCAAATTAATGCCATATACCACAGCTGTTTCTAAAACTTTTATGAACAGGAATATGAGTCAAATATAAAAATAATCCACAAATCATGGTGTTTTACTCCCAAGATCAAGAATTGTAAGTTCATGGAGACCCAGCAACTCAAGAACTCATGCCTGGATGACTGTAAGACTCCTGTACCTTGTTGTGGGATTCCCGCCTGGGTTCCATCATGAGAAGCATTTTGAAAATTTACTGATTTTGCTTTGGAACTGTGAACTGGGCTTTAAATGAAGTTCAATGGCTACAGCTAAAGGGGAGGAAAAGACATCTGCTTCCACAGACTGGTTTGAAGCCTATGTACTGGCTACAAGGTTTTCAGGTTATGACCCAGTTTTCCCGCTTACCTTGGCTTTTCCATCCTGGGCTGACATATATCCCACGCACATGCTCTCTGTTGTATGGCTCCACAGAAATTCCACTGTGTGAACAAGAACACAAATAGGCACATTCACATTCACAGATGGAAAATAAATCTTCGCGTTTTTAATAGAACAGTTAAAGATAGCTTTATATTTAACAGTCGTTCCCGACTTTCCATTTGCTCCATCATAAATGTCAAGATGATTTAGTACTCAAAACTGTAATGCCATTTACTGTGAAATGAAAAATGTATTTCTTTCTTGTCAAAACTCATGATTATTACATGTAAAATAAATGCTCTTGTGTTTGAACTTAGAACATTAAACACTTATACATTCTGAATACTGTATATAGTGATTTAGTAAATGCGATATTCCACAGTATAGTTTCTTTCAACATACACACATGCACACACACCTTCGTCTCTACTTAAAACACAAGCCAAGAGAGATGAAATGTCAATGATTCTGAACTGGTTTGTTACAGAAAGTAAGAAAATGCTAGAAGAATGAGGGGAACTTACCAAAAAGACTCATGGGTCAGGTTGAAGGTCTCTTACTGTCCAAATTTGCTCTCAACAAAGTGACAATGACAAATTGTAATCACTGAGCAAATTAAGAACCAACGTAGTTATACTGATGGAAACAAGTAAAGAAATAAGAAGAGACAAGCTCTTCCTTCCTTGCAGCAGAGTCAATGAATAAATAGCGAAGATGTCTATTAAGTGCTTGTCTCCCAAGTGCTGGGATTAAAGGTGTGTACCACCACTACCTGGCCTCATGGCTAACTAGTATGGCTAGTTTTGCACTCTGGTCTTCAGGCAAGCTTTATTTGTTGAATCATAAACCAAATTATCACTACAGCACTAGGTTCTCTGAATATACACTATATATAGCTTTCTGTTTAGTACTTTTATGGGACTCCTGAATGTGTAAACAAGTGGGTCTCTGATTCTTGTGCCTTCTCTTAGGGATCTTTTATTTTTCTATTGTCTTGGCTTGTCCAGTTTCAATATGATAGTTTTCATTTTATCTTAGTATATTTTATTTTGTTATGTTTTGTTGTTATCGCTTAGATAACTATTTTTTCTAATGAGAGACAGAAAGGGGGTGGATCTGTATGGGAGGGGAAGTGGGGAGAAACTGGTAAGAGGGAGGAAAAACTATTTAGATTATATTGTATGAGAAAAAAAATCTATGTTTAGTAAAGGAGAAAATGAAAAACAAATAAAAATTATGACAATGAACTCACATCAGCTGGTTACCTGAATTGGGTCTCCACAAAAACTGTCAAAAGCTAGTCATAGATGGGGAGGGGTCTCAAGAGGATCAGTCCATCCTCCCTCTGTTAAAGTATTGGCTACTGATAGATTCTAGGGGAGAGAAGTCATTTACTTTAGTTGTCTATCCACCAGCAATCCTGCCAACTTCCAATGAATTGTCTCAAACTGATGTCATGGGGGCTCTGATTAAACTCAGTAGGTTACAAAACAAAACAAGCCATGAATGTGGAAAGGCAGAATGTGGTAGTGGTTAGGGATAGGAGGGAAGAGAAAGGGTATGGGGAAGGAGTAATCAGAATGCATTACATACATGCATAAACTGTCAAAGAACAAACTTACAAAAGAGTTTGAAAATCATGTTTTCTAGAACTAGTGAGTAAAGATTTAAAGAAGAGCATGCTATTTGTAGTCTCAATGTACTTGTTTATAAATTTCTTATTAAAAATAAAGTGAAAAATGTTAATTCATTGTGGAATAAGCCCTTTGAGCTCTAACTAAACTAAATGAGAAAGCTAATTTCAACAACTAAGGCACAACCAAAACTGTAAGGTATTGACCATCTATTTTATCACATCACTACTGAAATACATCTCTTAAAATATGGAACGAAATCTGAATGGGAACACCACACAGCTAGACACAGCAACACTTTCTACTCAGTAACTCATCTGAAAGCTTCAAACCTGTCAAAGTAATCATAAGGGAAGCTTAGAATTGTTGAAAGAAATGCATTGACACTAAGTGCAGGACATCATTTTGGACTGTATTCTGGATTGAGGTGACAAGGGGATGTTACATAAACACTAATAAGACAAATGTGGACATGTGAAAATAAATTGTTTAGAAGAATGCCCTTGTTCTTCAGAAATACAAACTGATGGATTAGGAGTAAAGGAATTTAAATACCCTCTGAAATATTTGAGGAAAGTGTGTATGGAGAAAGGGAAAGATGAATGAGGATACAAAAATGATTTAGTATGGCAAGGCAACAGATGAATTTATGGGACCTATTTATTTTTTATTGCTTTTTTATTACTTTAATTTTAAATAGCTGGCTTCACATGTCAATCCCATTTCCCTTTCCCTCCCCTCTTCCCACACCCCCCACCATAATAAATAAATCTGTGATTAGGTTTAGAAAATTATTTTTCCAATTAAAAAAAAAGATCTTGTCCTCAAAACCAAACTTTAGAAATCAGGGCACTAAATAGACCACAAAAATTACACATTTAGAAACCAAGATCTGGCATGAAATAAACTTACATAGTTTGCATGTGATGGGAATATGTAAACTCATACATTTCTTACAACTACTAATTTATAAAAAGAAAACACACATCAGTAAAAATGCTAGAAATAATGATTTAGGTGCTACAATACATGTAGCAAGTAGGAAAATTAACAAAATAATAGATTAGTGCATCTTTAGACCCTCATCAGAAAATCCCTTTGCAGTAGATGGCCATTAATAAAGACCTACAACTGATCAATGTGCAGAACTAAGGGACTAACGGGTGCTCTATACCACATCCCTTCCTCCCAAGGCTAAGGAATATCATGGGAAAGCAGGCAGAAAGAATGAAAGAGCCAGGGGTAGCAAAAGACTGTAGCAAGATGGTGTTTTCCAGATGTAATGGCTATTCTTGGTTATCCACTTGACTACATCTGAAATTAACTAAAACCTAAATATCTGGACACACCTGCAAGGGATTTTTTTCTTAATAATCCAGATCTTTGAGGTGGGAAGATCTATCTTTTAATCTGGACCACACATTCTGTTGGCAATCTATATAAAGTACATGGAAGAAGGAAGGTTGCGTCTTTGAATGCTTGTTCTCACTCACACTAGCAAGTCCATTCTTTCATCAGCATTATAGCCTACTTTGGTGGGATTCTGGCATGTACTAATAAAGACCAGCTGAGACATCCAGCTTCACGGACTAAACAACTACTGGATTCCTGGGTCTTCTGTTGGTACACAGCCATTGCTGAACCACAGCCTGTAAGCCATTCTAATCAATCCCTGGCACTACTCTATTTATAATAGCAGAAAATTCATTCTTCCTAGATGTCTATCAACTGATGAATGAGAAATAAATTTTTCATGAGAAATGAGAAAATCGGTGGTTCAGATATATAATAGAAATTTATTCAGCTGTAAAATAAAATGGAATTTATGGGGAAATGGAAAGTCCATAAAGTATGGTAATTCAGGCTCAAATACATAAATAACACACACTCTCTTTAATTTGTGGATCCTACCTTCTACCGTGTATATACATGCACTTACATGGGAATGAGTGTGTGTAGAGCCACTAGAAAGCGATCCATGAGAAAGAAGAAAGGACTCTCTAAGGTATGGAGCAGAGCAGTAAAACGCATTGGCATGGAAGGGGGAATATTGGAGATGCAGCAATTTAAGTGGGAAAAGGAGCAGAGAGATGGAGGAAGAGGTAAGAGTTAAAAGACAGACTAATCAAAATGAACAATGTATGAAAAAGTCAGCAAAAGTGGTATAAATATTGTTCACACATACTTGCATGGAGAAATAATATCTTAGTAAAAGTGCAATAGTTTCTAGCATTACTGCTTTCTAGACATCTGTGACCTGCTTCCTGATTTGAAGGCTTTAATTATTCCACATTTAAAAATCACTAATATTATTTTAGCTATACAGAATGTATAAGAGATGCTACTTCCTTGTACCGGATCTTTTCAAGCACAATTATTACATGTAGGAGACTGTGAATTCGGGCAATATGCAGGACTAACGAATAGCCTGGAATGACTTGCCTGAATCTGTGAAAGTGCTGACTATGGCAATCTTTGTTGTGGTCAGACACAAACTTATTGCCATTGAGAGACGCTCCCGGCCTTTAACAGTACTGACTATTTTCCTTTGGTAGAAGCCAGTGATTATTTATAACTTCAATATTGATTCAAAAGGCCTTACTTTTGTTAGACTAAAGCCTAAGGAGTTGCAAGGTTCCTAGAAATACCTACACCATGGAAAAAATTTCCATCAGCCAACATTAAGAACCCAGTATTCCTACACAGGTTTAACATATGAGAAATGGACACAGGGCCTTGACAGTAGTCTTCTCTGTGAGATGATTTCTCAGCACATTGTGTCAAGTGTGGTATGGAAAGGAGCACAATGTGATAAGGTTTCTGTGCCAGGCTTAGATGGGGATGAAATAGCCACATGTGTGCTCCTCAAGAATGGTAAGGTAAAAGGCTGGAGAGATGGCTCAGCAGTTAAAAGCACCAGTTGTTCTTGATAAGGACCCAAGTTCTACTCCCAGCATCAGGCAGCTCACAGCTCCAGAGTATCCAACAACCCTCTGATCTCATACACAAATACATCAATAATGATCTCTTACCCAAATACATCAATAGGTAATAAAGTTTTAATGCTAGGTTAATGGCAGAACAGGGACAGTACTGTTTACTTAATGCTTTGAACAAGCGGATCCATTATGGAATAATGCTCAGGAAGGCTCTACTTCAATCTTGGTGGCTTCTGCTATATGAACCAGTCTGAAGGCCTAATGCAAAGCTTGACCTTCCTGTAGCATTTAAGTCACTACTTCCCCTAGTTACTACTAGAGCTACAAATTACCCACTGAATGATGTTTCTCCCAGGACACCTCTTTCTCTTTCTCCATCATCCACAAACCATCCTAATTACATTACATTTTATAAAATAAAGTGCCCTTACCAGGCTGTGAATAAGGTATTTCCATTCAAATGAATTCTCCTTCTAAACAGAAAAA